GGAAGAGCACTCACAGAGGATCATATGATGACAGCTCAGATGAGGAGCAGGAGATTGAGGAGGAGGAGCCAGTTCCTCCAGTTCAGCACCAGCCTGGTCAGGGGATGCATTATGGTCTCCTTGAGACACGTTTGCCCAATGTGCCCTCTTATGTTCCTAGAGTTGACTTCAGGGGAAAGGGTATGACCAGAAGAGCTAGAGATGAGCGAAGGGTTGATCCGAGGGGCTTACCTAAGGTTCAGTATGATCACCGCTTTTAGACAGCCTTTCACCTAGACTTCTACTCCAGTATGATTCTCACCAGGAACCCTGTGATTCCTGGGTCTCAGTGGATTGACTGGCAGTACATCAGAGAGTTACATAAGGCCTCAGTTGATCATGCCATTGCTATTTGCCAGCGCACTGGGGTTTATGAGATCATGGAGTTCCAGCATGACTGGAATACCGAGGTAGTAGCTCAGTTTTATGCTACCCTGTTCGTTGAGGAGGATGACAGGCGGATGCACTGGATGCTCGAGGGTCAGTGGTACAGTGTGGACTATGACGTGTTTGCCTCTCACCTTGGCTTCTCAGAGGATGACCTACAGAGGGACAGGATCCACACCGAGCAGGTGTTACCCCCTGAGCAGCTTACCTATATGTATCCACTAGGAGGTGAGAGGGGAGCAGTGGGGAAGGTTCAGGGTCTTCACCCTACTTATAGATACCTGGACAGGATGTTTAGGAAGACTATTGACTGCAAGGGTGGAGACCAGGAGGTGAGATGGTGAAGATAGCAAGGAAAGGCTTCGAGGTACTAAGCAAGGGTGAAGGGTAAGCGACGGCTTGGCAGCCGAAGAACCTAGCTAGGGTGAAGAAGAAAGTACTTGCATTTAGTTGAGGTACTAATCAAGCTATAATGGCCACGTTTATGTAGAGGATCAAATCACTATTGGATTGTTTGATGGAAGTGACTTGATACATTTGGGATTATTCAAATTTGATGAATAGAATCAAGTCACGTGCTCAAGATGGCTATGCTCAAGTGAAAAGATCAATATCAACATGTTAGCACCCTTACTTGATGAAGATTGAAAGAGACGGCATCAATTCAAAAAGAGATCAACTCAAGTGGTATAAATTTATTTTTCCTTTGATCTTGAGTTTAATAGGTATGCCGTACTATTAAGAGGGATGTATCATGTTGATAGATAATATTTCATAAGTGCTCAAGCCAACCCATGTGAGATTTGAGTGTTTGAGCGACAAAAGAGCTAACTTTATTTTTGCTGGTCTGGCAATACCAGACGTGTCCGGTATTTACCCAGCAGTTATAAAATTGTTGTTCTCGGGTTGGTTTGTCGAGAGTTCCGACGTAGGGGAGTTTCGACGGTTGGGAGTTCCAGCAAGGGTCGGGAGTTCCGATGTCTCAAACTTTAACTAACTTGGAGGGTTCACTGTCCTGGTCATACCGGACGTGTCCGGTATGCATGACCAGAGGCCAACGGCTAGTTTTCCAAAGCCTTGAGGGTCGAGAGTTCCGACGAGAGTCGGGAGTTCCGACACCTCATTTTCTTTAACTCAGTTACATGGTTTTCAAATTTGCTGAGGATCGGGAGTTCCGGCGGTCGGGAGTTCCGACGCCTCACAACTTCACTGTAACTTAGTTACCGTTAGGGCAGTGTAAGTCATACCGGACGTGTCCGGTATTGTAACGGCTATAAAACGACTAGTTTTTCAAGGGGGCTATAAATACCCCCAAGCCTCCACCTTTGGAGGCTGCTGATTCTGCTGAGATAGACACATGTTTTTGAGCCTTGCCAACTCTCCTAAACCCTCTCTTAGTGAGTGTGTGATCCAAATTGCAAAATCAATTTGTGGGTTAAGAGAGAATTTGAAAAAGAGAGCAAGCCACCACTTGAGCACTTGTGCATATTGTCAATCTCGTGATTCGTATTTGTTACTCTTGGACTCTTCGGTCCTAGACAGTTAGGCGTCGCCGGAGAGCACCCGAGAGATTGTGGTTGCTTCGAAAAGTTTGTAACGGCCGATTCCGCCGCCTCGGAATCATTTAGTGGAAGGAGGAAAAGGAGTTGGAAAAGACTCCGGCTAGAGTGACCTTCGTGGTACCCTCTAGGGCTTACCTTCGCTGGGTCGCCCGCAGCCCCCTCAACGGAGAGTGGGACTCGAACGAGTCCGAACTTCGCTAAAACAAATATCGTGTCTCAATTCGCATTTCATTTGATATTTGTGTTGCTCTAGCTATTCTGCAGGTTCTCTGTGTATATTACTATCTCTAATAGTTTCCTACAGTTTGGATTGAAGATAGAAATCAAAAGGAGCAAGTTCGGGGCTGTTCCACTGAAGTCGTGAATACCGGACACGTCCGGTATACCTACCGGACACGTCCAGTATTAGCCCCTGCGCCAAACTGAATTGTATTGTGTTCTAACTCTTTGGTTGCAGGCGTTTGGCTCCTAGATTCATTTAGTATCTTTTATATACTCTGTGGCTAACTTGTGAAGGGTGGTACTACTTTTTATTTGGAGTTTCCATTTTGGAAACTCTTTTTACTAATCGTTTCTGCATTTAAAGGTGTTAATTTTTAGAAACGCCTATTCACCCCCCTCTAGGCGACATCCTAGGTCCTTTCAATGTTGCAAGTATATGTTTTAAATGTTTCAGCCGTTTCAAATGTATGCTGCAAGTGTTTTATCTGGATGTTGCATATGTTGCAGTGCACATACACATATGTTGCAAACGTATGTTGTAATGTTTCATCTGTTTCAGACGTATGTTGCAGCAAATGCTTTATGTTTGTAAGTGTTTCATCGGCTGGCGCAACAAGGGGGTGCAGGCGAGGTGGTCCCCTCGGGCGCAGCGATCCCCGTGTGCGCGCGCTAAGTGAAGCGGGCGCGGCAGCAGGCGCGGGACACAAATATGTATCCATGGCCGTGGCAGCAATCGCGGAGCACGAAGCTGCATCCAGGGCGGGCAGCAAGCTTGGAGCACGAGGAGAAGCGAAGCATGAAACTGCATCCATGGGAAGACAGCAGGCGTGGAGCACGAGGCGAAGCGGAGCATGGTATCATTATTGAAAACTGGGGGCAGCAGGCACGGGTCCGGACATCCGGACGCTAGTCTCTTCGTTTTTTAAGGTAAAAGAAAAAAAACACATGTGAGCCTTTTCGTCATATATATATATATATATATATATATATATATGGTAAGGCTATTTTGCAGCTGGCCATAGAATAACTTAATCCATAACCACCTTGATTTACGATAATGTTTGTACTAATTTACGATAACATGAATATGCATTTACGACACTCGTGTTACTATAACTCACGGTGATATTTACCATAATGTTATAGTAAATCACTCAGTAAAGAGTTATTGTAGTCTGATAAATTAGCATGGTAATTATCAAAACTCAGAGTGACCACAGAATAAGTTATTCTATGACCAACTGCAGAACAGTAGTTCTATATAGCCACAGAATAACTTATTCTATGGCCACCTTGATTTACGATAATGTTTGTACCAATTTACGATAATGACAATACATATTTACGATATATGGGTTACTATAATTCAAGATGATACTTACCATAATGCTATAGTAAATCACTTATGAGGGAGTTACCATAATCTCATAAATTAGTATAGTAATTATCGTAACTCAAAATGACAACAGAATAACTTATTCTCTGCGCCAAAGCCTGATATATAGCCATGAGACGCAGCGTGGAGCACGGCGGCCTTGAAGCCGTCTGCGGTGAGTCCGTCAACCCGATTGACCCTTGCGCTGTCAGACAGCCCAGGCGACGCCCTCGGCCATAACTCATCCCTTCAACCGATTGCAACTTTCGTCGTACACAAATTGCAATCTTAATGGTAGGCCAGTTGCATTCCAGTTGGGTAGGCCAGTTGCAACTGCCCTGGATGGCTAGTTGCAGCTCCGTTTGTATACCAGTTCCAACTCAGCCTGTCAGCCGACTACATCTTCAGTCGTACACAAATTATAACTTATCTCTTCAACCGATTGCAACTTCAGTCGTACACAAATTGCAACATTGGTGGTAGGCTAGTTGCATTCCGGTTGGGTCGGGCAGTTGCAACTGCCCTGGACGGCTGGTTGCAGCTCCATTTGTATACAAGTTCCAACTCAGTCCGTCAACTGATTGCATCTTCAGTCGTACATAAATTGCAACTCATCCCTTCGACCGATTGCAACTTCCGTCGTACACAAATTGCAACTCATTCGCACGCTCGCTGTGTGCCTGCCTCGCTGCCTGGTGGGGTAGTGTTGGCGTGGGAGAGGGTAGAGGTGTGTGGCCCGCGCCTGATTAGTGGGTTAGTTGGGCTGGTTGCCCAGACAAGGCACGCCGGTTGGTCTGGGTGCATTATGTACACAGATTGCACCCAGGTGCATTATAGCAAAACAGTGTATATATATATTCTATGGGCAGCTTGATTTACGATAATGTTTGTACCAATTTACGATAACATGAATATGTATTTACGATACTCGTGTTACTGCAACTCACATTGATATTTATCATAATGTTATAGTAAATCACTTAGTAAAAAGATACTGTGGTCTCGTTATCTCTCTCTCATTCTGTAGCTTTCCATCTCAATCGTCCATTGGCTACTTCCAGCGATTGCCGTCTGATTGGTATTTACGATACTCGTGTTACTGCAACTCACATTGATATTTATCATAATGTTATAGTAAATCACTTAGTAAAAAGATACTGTGGTCTCGTTATCTCTCTCTCATTCTGTAGCTTTCCATCTCAATCGTCCATTGGCTACTTCCAGCGATTGCCGTCTGATTGTCACGTCCCGGTCAAAAGTCAACTTCCAGTTACTGCGAATGCTGAGTCATCATAAATAAAGAAGCAAGCAAGCAACCGCCCGTCCATGGTCCATGCCCGGCGGAGACTACACCCAAACCCCGACGCAGCCCTTACCCCCATCCCATCCCCCTCCCGGTCTCCACGCCGGCGACGATGGCGACTTGGCCCAACCCAGCCGTTCCGCTCCTTCTCGTCGCGGCGCTGCTCGCGTTCCAGGACTGGCTCTCCACGCCCTCTTGCTCGGGGGGCCCGCCTGCCGCCCACGGTTCCGGGGACCTCAGGGCCATGATGGTCGCCGACCTGATGCTCCTCGGGTCGGATGGGTCCTTCGCTGACCGACACTTTCGCGACCACGTCATGTCCAAGTTCTTCGCTGTGAGTGATTGAATTCAGATGCCAGCGGGTGTCCCGAATTTTCGCGAAATTTTGTCGGATATCTTGAAATGTTAGACTTCGCACACGTTAGATGGGCTAATGTAGTTGCGAATTTGCTGTTCTGGGGTGCTAAAAATAGTGGAGTTGCTCATTTTCTTGTGATTTCAGTGTTACTTGTTAGATTTGATTTGCGATGTTATGCCTTTTTTCCAGAATTCTATTCAAAGATTGAAGCCGGATATGATCGTAGTCCTTGGGGACATCTCAGCAAGAGGTTCAGAATCAACAGAGGCCAAATGGATTTCTGTTATCGAACAGTTCGAGGGGATATTGGGACCTTACTCCACTCTTCCTCTTCATATTGTTTTGGGTGATAAAGATGTCGGCACTTGTGCGAATTTGGAGGGTAAATTCGTCCGCCGCAGGGCCAAACATTTGCCGGGGTTGGATTCAAGTGGATGTGGCTCTTTTGATATTAGTAACGTAAGTTTCGTGTCACTAAATGCGGTTGCACTGCTCTGTAGCGACAATGCGTTGCGGTTCAGCATTGAGAAGGTTATGGAGAGGGAGAACCATCATATCCAAAGGGAAAGGGTTTATGAAGCAGAATGTAACCCTTTAGGGTGTGAAAGAAGTGAAAATTTCGCTGAGATTAGTTGGAGGCACACCAACATGGAATCAGGGTCAGGTCCTGTTGTTTTGCTCCATTTTCCATTGCATAAGTTCGATGGAGAAGTTACTGGTGTTCCCACATTTTCAGACGCGGTTGTATCCGATCATTCATTAGCTGACTCAAGCTCAAAACTAAGGTAAATCATCAATATCATGTATTGTATAAGTAGAATCTTTAGTCCTGTACTGCTGCATTACGTTAATGTTGTTTTGAAGCCTAGAATTGGTGTGATATGTACTGTGACATACTACTCGAAACCATGCAGTGGAGCTAATGGCAGGAGGTTATACGATCACTTGCATACTCTTTCTGCGAATTCAACACAATATATCCTTCAGGCACTTAAACCAAGGTGAGCCCTCTGTATTGGTAAATGGCCTTCTTTTTGCACCTAAAATGTGTATAGCTTTGTATTGAATTATCTGTTATAGTTGGCTGTTCTTTTTGTTATACTGTCTGGCAATTGTCATCGTGTTATGTGTAAAGTTATTTTCAAATTATTGTTCATGAAAATTCTGTTTTGCTTTCTTTAGAATGGTAACTGAAGTCCTAATGTCAATTTTTTTTTTCTGCAGGATTATATTTAATGCTCATGCTGGTAGCTTCTCTGTCTTTGTCCATGCTGATGGTACACGTGAAGTAACAGTGCCAGCTATGACATGGAAGACAAGAGGAGTTCCTGGTTTTGTCATTGCTACATTTGATACTAAAGGGTCTGTGACTCTGAGATGCTGTTGGTTAGCTAGAGAATGGCATGTAATTATGGTATATTTAGCATTCTTGTGCCTGACAGCTCTTGCAATAAGATGGTCACATTAATATGAATGAAAAGTCAAATGTTAATCCAAGGTATCTGTGGTGCTTATATCACCTTTATATTTATTGGCTTCACATAGTTGGTTTCCTCCATAAACTTTTGCCACTTCTGGCTTTTATTGCTGCCACTACCATCCGATTAATTTTTAGACCAATTTGAATGTCATATCCTGAGATCTCGATACGCAACCTTAGAACTAGAAGCTTCTTGATTTGTTTGTTGGCCTTTTATCCTCTGTGTCCAGCAAGTGCATGAAAGCAAGATTTTGAGTGCCTTTTGTCCATGGGCACTTTGGTTTTACTAATGAACCAGTGTGCTTGCTGATGATTTATAGACTGTGTAGTTCATGTGCCATGGTATCCTACTCCTGGAAATTAAGATATATTTCAGTCCAGTAACTCATAGTATACCAAGCTTCTTAAGGTAGTTTATTTGGTATGAAATCACTATGCACAGTCTGATAGCTAGTGTTAAGAAACTGAGCATACACCAGCACTGCTTTTCTATGAACAAATAGTTAGTGAGGTGTGCATGAGTTTTTTGTAACATCCCCTTTGTGTCATATGTTTCAGACATACCAGAGTAACTTTACTGTCTCAAACAAGATTCTATTTAAGCTTCTTTCTTGTGATTCTGTAGGTCAATATTGATGACTAGCACATTTGGATTCAGTACGATAGTTATGACGCATGATGAGAATTATTCACAAGGAGCGTAATGGTACCAAATTCAGTCTGTGAAACTTGCTGATAAACAGCAGCATATTGATGGTGGTCGACACATGCAGTAGCACCAAGCGCAGTGGCCTCTTGGTGCTGCTTGGCCAGAGCACCAAGTCAGCCTCTCTGCCTGTTCAGGCTACTACTTTGAAGCAGTTTGTGGAGCCTGTGGCACTATCTGACTGATCATATTCATTGCAGCTTTCTGGAGTGGTATGCACTATCAAATTACTTATTTGTTAATCTCAGCAGCTGAACAACAATTTGTCAAACAACAGCATAACCATAACCATTCACTACTTAGCCAGGGGATCCTGGCACTGCATCTCCAGTATTGGCGTACCGCTCATCTCCACCCGGCATTGAGGACATATGCAGGTTTTCTAGTCCCATTCTCCAGTATGTGTTGAAATGATTAGTGTATTCCGTGAAAGTTCCATCTCGGGTAACTATATGCCTGCAAGGGCATAAGTTGCCCTTTATGCCCGGATACAAACAGTGTATTGATTACTTCACTTGCTACAAACATCGAATGCTCTGCTTCCCGTCTCTGAAGATGTGTATGCTGGGTGTCTCCCTCTGTCTGCTCGTTATTGCATCCGCACTGCTCACACAAACCGACTGCCACTGTTTCCATAGCCTGGCACCTTGCAACTATTTTATGGGTTACCAGCGATGACCGAACGACAGTTATTGCCACCCTATGCCAGGTGACCAGGTCTTCTTCGGGACCATTGCTGGCAGCGAGCACCACCAGGTATGCCCACCCCTTTGTCTTCACTCCCCTGCTGTGTGATACTGAGTACCCAAACCTAGGGACCCAAGACCCGTGGCGACAGGGCGGGATGGGTTTTGATTTTTCCCCGCGGGTGCCCATGGCTTCCTGAAATTCAAGTTTAGCTATCAATTTAGTCCATGAAACAGCCACAGCTGCCCAGCCCATGGTATAACCCTAGGCATTTAATTCCCAGCAGCAGCAGTGTTGCTACATCCACTCCCCAGTCGGCCATGTCCCCAGCCGCATGCCGCTGTCATTTGCCACTCGCCTGCTTTCCTCTCCTGACCACCGCCCCACACATCCTGCTGTCTGCATCCTCCTCCGGTCCTCCCAAGGTGAGCTCCAATCCCCAGCCCTAATTCACAAGATTTGAATCCTGCAGCAGTAAATTAGGATATCTTGAGTTTGTGTGGTGGGAAGGGCCACTTGTTCTAGATGTGAATTTCCTCCATGCGCATGGTCAGGATTGTCTAGATGCATAGCTGGCACTTTATTGTATTGTTCTTTTGAACTGATGACAAGGTTAGGTTTGAACTGATGCATATCTGGAAGACTGGATTACAGGAACTGTATATTTTCCTATCCTGTATCAGCAATATTATATCATTTTTGTCATTTATGAACTATCCAATTTGGGCAAAACCTTGTATTCAGATCTGATCTAATTACAAGTGCATACATGTATTATGCTTACTAACTTCGATTGTTTTGCAAAAAAAAATTATTGGGTGTACATGTATACACCCATGTCTTTACTGGATCCGCCCTTGTCTGATACCGGGAACCAGAGATTTTCCTCCCTTTCTGGGAAATCTCCTCGCCTAGTATCAATGCCATGGTGATGATTTGCATGGAACCTTAACATTCGATATGATATCGAACTGTTGAGATAAAAGATGTTCTCAGGGGAGTAAATTCTAACCATTTATACAGTTCAGTACTTGAGTTCACTTACAAGTTGCAACTGAACACGAGTTTTTCTAGGCCTCATTACTTGGCCCTCTATACAGAGGTCTGGAACTCAAAATAGAACTGTATTCAGCCATGTAAATTTTAGGAATGCAAGCGGGCCCGCCTGCGGGCGCCCACCACACCACGGCAACGACTGCATGCGAAAATTGTCCGTCCTGCAGGAGCCCGCAAGCATAGTTTAATTGTCTGCATTTTCCTGCCAGGCTTTGCAGGAGAACGTAAGCAGGACTGCAGACGTCTGCCACAGCCTGCGTCGCTTGGTACCGCCGTCTGCCTCGGGCTGCTGGCCGCTGCCAATGCCATGTGAAGAAGGATCGAATCGGAGGGGGACGTGCTCTTGGAGTCGGAGAGGTCATCAGGTGTCTCACGCAAGCGCTCACAACTAGTCCTAATCGCCCCTCGCCCGCCCGCCGATTCTGCCCATGCATGGTGGCATCGCGGTCGCGGTCGCAGGCAGCAGCAGCTAATGAAGCAGCCAAGCAGGCCATGTGAACAAGGATGGTGCAGACTGAACATTCACTCGCTCTTTCCAGTTACCAGGTCTGCATGCATCGTCCACTAGCTAGTTTAAGTGGAAATTCCGGAGCCTAAGCCAGACGCCCAAAGTTTTTACAGTGTCACGGATGCAGTGCGCGCACTTGACTATGTAAAGGAATCTGGAGCAGGTGCCCACAGGACACACAGCGCAGGCGACTAGGCGAGAGCGACGGCCGGCGCCCTTTATGCTGTGCAAACTGACAAGTTGCTGTGATGCAAGAAGAAGCATCCATGAAAGGCAGGGGCAGCTGGGCCATGGGGTGTATGCGTCAACGGAACGAGGATGGGAAGCACTAGGTGTGGCTGCCCATGGGGACACAGCGTTCCAAAGCGTCGCCGCCCAAGTGAATAAGAAGGGATGCGACGCAGGTGGGATGCAGGTAAGCGGGCTTTGCAGGTTTAGCCCGTTAAGTCCAACAGGCTTTGATGGCCACCACTGTTTCAACCTGCTAAGCAAGTGCAGACGTCCGCATGGACCAGCGAGGGTACTTTTTTCAAGCGGGCCCTAGCAGGTAGCAGGTATGCCTGTGCCCCTTTGCATCCCTAGTAAATTTGAATTTGCTATCCTGCATTAAATAGAAAGAAATCGATATAAACAGGTCATGATGTTGTAAACTTGCTAGGTGACAATGCTCCTATCTAATGTTGGTAAAAAAAAGAAGCAGCTTTAGCTATAAAATAGAACTGTCATACTTGTTAAGAAGCTGTGTCCTATCACCTATGCAACCTTCACTGCAGAAATTTGGTAGAGCTTCTGTTGACAAAAGATTGTTGATTACCAGATTGCATCATGAAATAAATGCTCTAATTACTGAGTAATAGGCATACATTGTTCCGACTTTGCTGTCTGAAAGAAACAGTTGACAGCTACAATTACCTCCTTGTACTGATGAGGACCTTATTACAGTGCTCATGTAGTCTTACTCTTCTTTTTATATATATTTGTAGCAGAAATGGTGAGAATTAGTGTGGTTAATGATGCCTTAAGAGCATGCACAATGCTGAGAAGTGTGGCTAGTGCCAAATGATGATCATGCCTTAATCAATGTTCATCATCGTCATACAAAAGCATGGTAAATTTTTTATCATTAGGGCCTATTTGGTACTTGGTAGGGATCCAGATTCTCACAGAAACATTTTGGATCCAAATTGTTTTTTTTTTCTTCTAAAAACGATTCTCTGTTGAAACAGAATCACTTGCTCAATTTGTTTAGCTATCTATCCTGATTCTCCCCGAAATGACTAGAATCAGTGCAAAGCACCCTTTTGGGTGATTCTCCTTCCTAATGTTAAAATGAGAAATGTTTCTAGGTGATTCAGGGTGAAAGGTTCTGATTTTTCAGCGTTTGGTAGAGATTCAGGTGATTCTGCCCAGAATCAGAAATGTCTCACCCATCCAAACGGGCTCTTAATCAAATATGTGCCTACTTTTTGGTGGTCAAAATGTAAAACTATGATAGGCCTGTTTCTAGCTCTCCATGAGTGATGGTGTTGCTCTTTTTACTGCAGGATACATTTTTGAGTCAAAATGTAAAACTATGATAGGCCTGTTTGTTGATGGTCACCTCAAAGTTAAGAAGTTGTTGAACTCAACGGTAGACTGAACAAATGTGGCGTGGTCAGCCCGTGTTTTGATGTTAGTGTTAAGGAAATTGATTCCTGGGCCGTGAGGCTGTTTCCTTCACGTCAGATTAGTTAACTAACAGCTTATGTGCAAACATCACTTATCTAATGCATCTTAATCGAACCAAGTTTCCTGAGAACTTCATTTTCCGTTTTGCAGTTTGGGCACATCATTTTACCACCTCTGATTGCATCATGGACGAGGAGAAAGAATGTGGGAGGGAAGGTCCTTGGCTTCTTTTACTAGGCCTAGGAAAATCTCTTATCCAGTTGTGAGATCATCGCCATAACTGTTTGAGTTAAAGATCATAGTTTCATAGCTGAGTAGAGTTTAAACTGGCAGAGAACACCCATGGCATTTTTTGAAAGAATGAGAACACCCATGACTGCATTGCCTCGTTCTGGGTTCTGTTGACCCAAGGGTCATTGAGTTGCTGCTCTCTTTTTGGCTGTTGCATCAGGAACTCAGGATGTAATCTGCTTGTGTACCATGGTATTCTTGCTATGAAGCTTGGTTCTTCGATAAACTCTGGAAAACCTCTCAAGGCTGGGTACTGTACCTTGCTGCACAAAGGCCGCATGGTGAATGTTGTTGCTTGTAACAGACCATTTACTAGCTATGCAGTAGAATCCTAAGGGGTTCTGTTTGTTTTTGAGACTGCATGCAGCACCGGTGGAGACGGTCAGGAGCTCATGTAAACAAGAATAAATTGCTGAGGCAACAGCTGGCTGACCATAACGGATGGATTGTCCCTGTTGATGAGGTTTAGTTCTACCTGTACTCCCTGAGGCCTGAGTCCCTGCGACTCGCGAATCAAGCAGCTGTAGTGTCTGGTATTGTTCATTGTTCAACATTGTATAATGTATATATCACCGAAATTACATGAAAATCCTTCGGTTCTTTTCGTACGTACGAACCAAGGTGGCAGGTCGACGAGGCCTATCGCATTAGGTCAAGTCCACTATGCGGATACTCCACTAGTGACCTGTGAGCTGTGACTGTGAGTTGTGACTGATCTGATGGTGACAAACCGGTGTTCGTCAATGACTCAATGTGTACTGCTCTTTCCTGTGCCGTTTCGTCAAGGGTTTTTGTTACCAAGAGGAAGAATCCTTGTAGATGGGGCAGGAGACTTTATGGCGAAGATGTGAGTGTGATAGTTGTGATTCGTACAAAAGCTTATGCCTCGTTTGGTTCCGGATAGCATTTTGTAATCCGGCAAAAAAATCCAGATAGCAATCCAAAACGGGTGAGCTTTCTAGCGGACTCTGGGTATCTGTCTCGAAATCCTAGGCTATAATCCAATATCCTATGGGGAGGAGCTTCTGGGAGATTATGTCCCAAGAAAGACAATATTGCCCACGAGATGTGACAGCCAAATGAAAAGAAAAGTAAAAAGAGCCAAGGGCATCTTCGACATTTTGCTGCATAACAAATCCACTATCCAAGAGTACAATCTGGGATCCAAACAAAACTGATTATCACTATCCAGAATCTAGATTTTCAAAATTAGTATCTATAATCTGGCTTCTCATAATCCTTTGATGATCCAAACGGGCCCTTAGTCTTCTCTTCAGTCTCCACTTATCTCTCTTGTAGCTTATGATGATCCATTCCATTGAGTCAGGCCCTGAGAAATGCTTTGTATGCGATAAACACGAAACCACTGATCACATACTCTTTCAATGTCCCATTGCTGTCTTCCTCTGGTCCTTCACGAGGGACTGCCTGGGATGGTCGATGTCACCAACCAGCTGCTCCACTCTGTTTTTAGAGATTGTGGAAAGATGCCGAGGTAAGAAGCAGATGGTAACGCTATTCCTATGTGCAGGTGCGTTATGGTCGATGTGGAAGTCCTGCAACGATGTGGTGTTTAACAAGAAAGTCATGACAACGCCGGTGGCGCTGATATACAAGACTCTGATGCTATCTAAAACCTGGCGCCCTCTCCTCAAGCCGAAGATGAAACAAATGGTGGAAGACATGATAAATCTGATCTCAGCGAATGCGTCTACTGCTGTGTAATTTGTCTCCCCTCCGGGGCTTCTTGTTTTCGTTCAGGTCGTTCTGCTAGATATGGTTGAGATAGTAGTAGTATGCTGAGAGCTGCTGAGCGTTGAGAGCTTTTGTTGAGTTTTTCCTTGAGTCGAGTTTGTTTTTCAAGTTGTTCAAATGCTGTCATTGTAAGCTGGAGGCCCCAGCACCGGAGGTGCTCGTTACGCTTTTTAATAAAGTTAGGTGGATACTTTGATCTAAAAATGATGATCCATTGCTTCTCATGATCATATTGTAACTGATGATCAAGACAGCTTTGCACATTACTCGAGAAGTCGACACCAAGACCGCTGATGGCTTTATTTCCACGCATTCTTATTGACTGTATATTTGGTCAAGTGAAACCTATTAATTTTTTTAAAAAAACATAGGACTGTCTCCTCCCTTTGGTGAAAGAAAAACTATCTCTAGTATCAAACTCCAGTTCGAGAGAAAACAAGAATTAGTACGAAGCTTAGTGCACTTTTGCTCCTAAAAAGGGTAATTGGTTATCAGGAGGCTTATAGAACTTAGGAGTACTAATAAGAGCATCTCTAACTAGGGCTGAATAACGAGCCGGCATGGCTCGGCTCGTTAAGAAAATGAGCTAGCTCGGCTTGGCTCGGCTCGTTTACGAGCACGAGCTAGCTCGTTAAGCTCACGTGCTAGGTATAAAAAAATACATAAAATATAATATTTACATTTATCTAAAACTTTAGAATAGTAATAATACAAAAGTAACACATTTAACAACCTTAAATCGAACAAAATATTCATATGTGCTAACATATATACAAGTATAATAGTATATATACTATATAGTATTACATCACACATCCATGGTCCATACTCCATACCATACATAATGCGTCCATGAGTATCCATACATCCATTAAAAACAAAATGATAAAGTCATACTAATTCCTAAGTTTATAGAGTCTAGACCGATCATCAACCAATTATAAAGTGCAAGACATGAAGTAATACAAAACTAATATAAGTTATGATGCTTTTTTCCTGGAAGCGTGGCTCATTTGGCTCGTGAGCTGGCTCGAGTTGGCTTGTTATAGCTAACGAGCTAAAATCTTGGCTTCGCTCGGCTTGTTATCATA